CCAGTAGCAGAGCAGAGCAGCAGGCACTGCCATTCCTTTGGCCCCTGGCACAGCTGGCTGGGCAGAAGCAGTGTTGCTGCCTGTCCCTGGGCCCCCAGCACTGGCAGCCAGGTAGAGAAGTAGATGCTGCCAGTCCACGGGCCCCTGGCATGAGTGGGTGAGCACAAGAGAAGTCACTGCCAGACCACAGGTTCCTGGTGGGGGTGGGTGAGTGGAAGAAGGGGCACTGCCTGTCCACAGGTTCCTAGTATGGGAGGCTGGGTGGAGAAATGGGTGCTGCCAGATCATGAGCCCCTGAGACAGTTGGGTGGGCAGAAGAGGGGACACCACCATTCGACAGATCCCCAGCACAGATGGCTAGGTGGAGAAGCAGGCACTGCTGTTCCGCAGGCACTGCTGTTCCACAGGCATCTAGTGCCAGTGGCTCAGCAGAGAGGCAGGTGCCCCCGGTCTGTGGGTCCCCAGCTCAGGGGTGAGGCCAGTGATGGGTGCCAGCAGACTGCAATCACGTGTAGGGGGATGAATGAGAGGAGTTGGGGCACCACAGGTCTGTGGGCCTCAAGCAGGAGGAGGGGCTGAGGGCACAGTGGGTGAAGTGAGTATACTTAACTTTTGCAGTGTGGGGAGCATTCCTGCCTGGCTCTGGACATGGGTGCAAAGTCGCTCCTGCTTGGCTGCACCAGGTGATGGGGGGCTTCGGCTGGGAACACTGCTTGCTTTGTCTCGATATGACCATGCTGTGCAAGTTCAACTGTCAGGGTGCCAGCAAGCTGTAATTCTCCATGTCTGCTGTTTTTGTACAGTCTCTCCTTCCTTTGCCTTGCCTTTGATGCTCAAGGTTTTAAAGTTGTCATCTATATCTGATTCACTTGTTTTTTTTAAGTCTTTGTTGTAAGGGGCACATTATGAAATGTCTGACTATGCAGCCATCTTGGACCACCTCTCCACAGGGTTTTCAATGGCTGATTTCTCAGAAGAGGATTGCCAGGTCTGTCTTCTGAGGTGCCTCTGGGTGGACTCTGACTTTCAACATTTTGGTTAGCAGCCAAATGCATTAATGTTTAGAACCACCCAGGGACTCCTAGAAATGTAAAGAGCATAGCAGAAGATAGATTTCACTAGCATCAGTAGAGGTGTGAGGTGTGTGTGTCTGTGTTTGTGTCTATAGGTTTGTGAGGAGCTGAAGGAGAACAACTGACTCACCTCAGAGCAGTTGCCATGTGTCTTAGTTATCTAGTGCTGCTATAACAGAAATACCACAAGTGGATGGCTTTAACAAAGAGAAATTTCTTCTCTCACAGTCTAGTAGGCTACAAGTCCAAATTCAGGGTGCCAGCTCCAGGGGAAGGCTTTCTCTCTCTGTCGGCTCTGGAGGAAGGTCATTCTCATCAGTCTTCTCCTGGACTAGGAGCTTCTCCATGCAGGGAGCTTCTCCAGGTCCAAACGATGTGCTCTGCTCCCAGTGCTGCTTTCTTGGTAGTCTGAGGTCCCCAACTCTCTGCTCACTTCTGTTTCCTTTTATCTCTTGTAAGATAAAAGGTGGTACAGGCCACACCCCAGGGACACTCGATTTACATTGGATCAGGCATGTGACCTGAGCAAGGGTGTTACATCCCACCCTAATCCTCTTCAGCATAATCCAATCTTGCCTCATTAACCACAGGCAGAGATTAGGATTTACATATAGGAAAATTATATCAATCACAAAATGAAGGACAACCATACTATACTGGGAATTATGGCCTCACAAGGTTGACACATATTTTGGGAGGACACAATTCAATCCATGACACCATGTCGCAGTGATACTGACCCAAGTAGTCAAAAAACAAGAAGCAAGTCTGAGAAAGGGAAGAGAGAGATTTTCCTAATTCTGTTCTATGTGTGTTTCTTATGGGGCCGGGGTTCAAGGAGGGTTGCAAAATGAGGAACACGGAAACGTCTGGAAGCAACCTGTCCTTGTTCCAGGGAGCCCTCCCCCACAACTCCAGCTTTCTCAGGCAGTAGCACTGATGGAAATTTGCCTTTGTCTATCACCTGTGTAAAGGAGGCTTGGTGATGCAATCGTTAAGCGCTTTGCTGCTAACCAAAAGGCTGGCAGTTCTAACACACCCAGCGGCTCCATGGAAGAAAAGTTCTGGTGATCTGCTCCCGTAAAGATTACAGCCTAGAAAATCCTATGGGGTGGTTCTACTCTGTCACATGGGGTCGCTGTGAGTCAAAATTGACTGCAGCACCTAACAACAACAAAAACAACAACAACAACAACAACAACAACAACAACATCTCTGTAACTTGGATGTGCTACTGTCTGGTGATAACCTCAAGAGAAATTCCAATCCCCTACTCATAATCTGGGAAGTAAAACCAAGTATAAAACAACCAAAGAAGTTATGGTGGGCTCTGCTACTTATCTGCCAGTTTGCATCTTCTTTCATAATATAACCCTTGAAAAAAGATCACACTGGGAATGGCAGAGAAGCAAGTTAGAAGGAGCTCAGTATCCCAGCAATCTTAGAAAAAACTTGAATGCTCTTTAGAAAGAACGATGGTGAGACTTTGCCTTGTTTAGTTTGGACATGTAATTAGGAAAGACCAATTGCTAGAGAAGCACATCATGTTTGGTAAAGTGGAGGGTCAGCAAAAACAAGGGAAATCCTCAGTAGGATGGCGCTCACTCACACTGTAATAACCTCAACAATGGGCTCAAACATATCAAAGAATCATGAAAATGGCACAGGATCAGGTAATGTTTAATCCTGTTATATATAAGGTTGCCATGAGTCAGAGCCGACTCCGTGGCACCTACCGAGAACAACAAAGTACCGCCAGCAACCTGATGCAGATGTATGTTCGCCAGTGACAAATGACATTATCTAAAAAGCCTCTCTGGCCAAAAGTCTGTATCTGCCAGTCTGTGCAGACAACTGACATAGCATTTTAAGTGTCCTGCTTTAAAGATAAGGTCTTTTCTCCTGAGCATTTGGCCCTCCCTTTTTTATACCAAACATCTTTCCTAGTTTAGCTTCCATGATGTGCCTCTCCCGGGAAGTTTGTCCTGATCCCTGCTACACAAGACTCTCAGTCCTCTTGCTTCCATCACTCTCTCCTGCAGGGAACAGACCATGTAGTTCTCTAAGTACTTATCTTCTCTAATGGCAGCCAGCCCCAGAGGGCTCATTTTTTCAGTTTTGCATTCCCAGCACCTAGCATTATACCCTATAGTGGATGCTCAATAGATGGAGGAATGAGTGTGATATAATGGAAACATCACTGAGCTTGGAGTTAAATAACCAAGTAAACAGGCTCCTTGACTTATTTGTTGGGTGATCTTGGACAAATTACTCCACTCTTTTGAGCCTCAGATTCCTCATCTGACAAGTAAGAAAGATAATTCCCCCCAGGCCCTCCCATCCATCTCAGGCTTGTCTTGAAATGCCAACGAGAGATTTGAAAAATTTTTTGCCCTGAAGAAAGGAAATTTGAGGATACACTGGTCAACCCATTCATTTTACAGTTGTTAAAGTTGAGATCCTCCTATACTTTCTTTTTTTTTATTAAGGTTTACCATCCCTAGTCCCATTCCTATAGGAGCCTACTCATTGGAGTTGATCTGGAAATAGGAATCTGATAAATTAATTTTTTTTTTTTAGGAGAGAATGGTTATTGAGAGTGTGGGAGTACCTGTACTGGAGATATTTGCATTTTATTTAAGATAATACACAATAATGGGATTTCTTCCAGGTCCTTGAGCAGACTAATAAAGAGGTACTTTTGAGAGGGGCAATTTTTCAAGTCCTTCCCAATTCACATCATATAAATGGTTACCCCTCTGTATCCCATGTCTTGCATTGATTATTGGAGAAATTCTGCGTTAATGTTTGAGGTAACATCATTGACTTCCCCCAAATGCCCCATGCCCCAAAATCTAGTGGATTCACCTTTTTCAAACATAAGAATTGGGATATTCAGAACCACTGAAGTCATGAAGGAATAAACATCTTCAAGGATATGAGAAAGTGATCATGGCACGTTGAAGCCCAGCTCTTACCTTAGCAAATTATGTGAACTCAGGAAACTCACTTAATCTTTCTGAGGTCCCTCCCCCAATATTTTAACACTTTTTTAGTGTATATGCACACGCGTATGTGTGTATTTACATAGGTCAAAATTTAAAAAGAGAAACAGTGAAAAATCTCCTTTCCAATCTTTTCCCCCAGCTTCCAGATTCTCTCTCCAGGCTCAGAGGCAACTGCTATTGTCAATTACCTGGGTATCCTTTCAGAAATATTATTATATGCATAAACAAGCAAAAACAAAGACATATAGCTCCCCCACCCCACCCCCTTTTTTCCACACAGATAGTTCTGCAAATGCCATACTCTATCTTGGAGAACAGTTTCAGTCACTACCTGAAGAACTGCCTCATTTCTTTTTTTAATAGCTTCATGATATTTTTCCATTGTATGGAGGTACCATAATTCATTTAATCAAATTTTTGTTGCTGGAAGATTGTTTCCAGTCTTTTGTGATTACAAATAATGCTGCAACAAATAATTATGCACATATGTCATTTGCACATATGTGAGATATTTGCTGGCTAAATTCCTAAAAATGAATTGCAGGGTGAAAGTCTATTCACATCCTTAATTTTGAGATATATTGCCAAATTCCGCTTCATACTCATTGTACCAATTTGTACTCCATTCAGTATGTGCAATAGCATTTTTCCCCATCGCTTTCACCTACATAGTATGTTAGCTAACTTTTTGAGATTTGCCAAACTGATATGTAAAATGCTACAAATGGGGTTACCATGAGTCAGAATCAACTTGCGGACGTTGAGGTTTTTTGTTTGATTGTGTTTTTTCCATTTTCTTATTATGTGTAAGACTAGGCATCTTTTCATATATTTGAAGAGTCTTGTGTTTTTCTTCTACAGTTCACATCTTTCTTTCATTTTTCTATTGGCTGTTGATATTTTTCTTATTGTTTTGTAGGAGCTCTTTACAGATCAAGAAAAGAAAACCTTTATCTATAATAAAAATTGCAGGCTTTTCTCCCAGTTTGTTTTTTGAACATTCCACATGGTGAGTTTGTCATACTGAAATTTATTATTTTTATATATGTTCTATTTATCAAACTTTTAAAGCTTCTGGGTTTCATATCATACTTAGAAATACCTCCCCCACTCCAAGATTAAACATTCTCCATGCCTTCTTCTACTTCTTCTTCTCTACTTATATTTAAGTCTTTGATCCATCTAAAATATATTTTGTATAAGATATGAAATATGGAGCCAACTTAATTTTTTCTGGATTGTCACCCAGTTTGTTCCAACTCCATTTATTAAATAATCCATTTTTCCTCTTGTGATTTGAAATGCACCTTTACCATATACCAAAACAATAATAAGTATCATACACAATGTCATAGCTAAGTTTTGGACTTATTTTAGGACTTTATACTTTGTTCCATTGAACTATTATATGCCAGCACTGCACTGTTTTGATTATTATGGTTTTATAAAATGTTTTAATATCTGGGTTGGTTCCCCTACTTCTTTTTCATAATTGCCCTGGCTCTTCTTGCCTATTTATTTTTCATATTAATTTAAGAATCATCTTAATTGGTCTAAAAAAATTCCCTGTAGTATTTTACTGAGATTGCATTTACTGTAAGGAAAGTTGACATGGTTGTGATGTTGAGTCTTCATACTCAAAAGCAGATCATGCCTTTTCATTTATCCACATTCTCTCTTGTATCTCTCAGTAGTGATGTAAATTTTTCTTTAATTAGAATTTCCGTATTTCTTTTAACCTTAATATACTTTTTCAGTTACAGTTGTGTTATGGATTAAATTGTCTCCTTAAAAAATGTGTTGTAAATCCTAACCCCTATAACTATGGTTACAATCCCATTTGAGAATGGGTTTTGTTTGTTATGTTAATGAGGAAATATTAATATAGGGTGCATCTTAAGTCAATCTCTTTTGAGATATGAAACAGCAGATTGAGCAAGCAAGCACAGTTGGGAGACAATAGATGCCATGCTACATGAGATCTCCCAGGAATCAAGAAGCAGAAGCTGAAAAGAGGCAAGGACCTTCCCCCAAAGCCAAAAGAGAAAGAAAGCCTTCCCCTAGAGCCAGTGCCCTGAATTCGGACTTCTAGCCTCCTAAACTGTGAGAAAATAAATTTCTGTTTGTTAAAGCCACCCCATTATGGTATTTCTGTTGTAGCAGCACTAGATAGCTAAGATAAATTGTAAATAGGGTCTTTTTTCCCATTACAACTTCTAATGGATTGTTGTTTTTATCTTAAAAAGACTTTCTATATATTCTTCTACCAAGTCAAATTACTTCTCATATTGTCATCATTTTTCAGGTGACTCTTTAAAATGTTCCAGATATATCATTACATCATCTGCAAATAGTGATCATTTTACCTCTCCTTTTTTTATATATGTCTAATATATTGCTTTTACCTAATTGGTTAGTACCTGCAGAATAATGTTAAAAAATTGTAGTGTTACTAGACATCTTTGCCTTGTTTCTGGTGTTATGAAAACATACGTTGTTTCTTCATTACGCTCAGTGCAGGCTTTTGGACTGAGATAGATATATTTACCTAATTAAGAAAATATTCACCTATTGCTAGTTACTGAATCTTTAACAGGAAATGATATTTAATCTTATCAAATGCCTTCTTAGTACCTGTTGGAAAGATAATATTAATTTTCTCCTATTATAATAATAGATTTCCTAATATTGAACAGTCCTTGAATTCCTAGAGTAAACCCCAATTGTTAATATTATTTTTATACTATGCTTTTGAAATCTGTTAATATTTTATGTTGGATTATTGTATTGACATTTATAAGTGAGATTGATCTATGACTTTCTTGTATAATCATTGTTATATATTGTTTTCAGTATTATGTTGGCTTCATATAAAATAATTTGGATGCTTTATTTCTCTTTCTATACTCTGAAACAGTTTAAATAGCATTGGAGTTATCTGTATCTTTCATAAAATTCCTCTCATTTTTTATGATTTCTTGCTTTACCAACTTTTTCAATCAATTAACAATCTACTGATCCTAGTTCCCTCAGATAAAGGTATTTTTATTATTTCTAAATTTCCTATAATAAACATGCATTACCTTTATAATCACAATGGCATTAAAATATTAAGGTGAGGAAATAAACAGAGAAATGTGCAAATGTCTATATGCAAAATTTTTCAATACAGCATTGTTTTTAATAAAAGCAAAAAAAGAGGCAACTTCCAGGCTAAATGTTTGTAGGGAACTGATTAAACAAATTATGGTATTTTTATACAATAAAACACTATTCAGCTATTGAAAATGAAGTTTTGCATTGGGGGAATAAGACATTCATTTTTTTAATACATTCCAGAATAGTGTAAAGTTTTTACACTGGGAAATTGCTACTTTTATAATAAATAATATAGAATTTTAAAATAAAAATAACAATGATTGCATAGTTACATATTTATTAACATGGAAAGATGTTTACAATATATGGCAAAGCATGTTTCTCACATAATTTTTTGTTTACATTTATTTTCCAGTTTTCCTAGAGTGATTATGAATTCCTTACATGGATGGATAACTAAATAGACGGATGAAATGGCAGTGTTCCAGGATTATACAAGAACCTTTATAGAACTGACTGGATGAAAGGTCAGGGATGCTAGCTGGCCCCAGTCCACCCAAATAAGAGGTATCCCAGTATGAACCATTGGTGAGAAGAAGAAAATTTTTTCCAGTCCCCTTGCATACATCAGGCCAGAGATGAGAATGAAGCATCTACCATCTGTCTCGGTGACTACTGCTATAGCTCTGAGTTTCCAGGCCAAGTGAGGGTGGCGGGTGTGTCTTCAGGGACAGAAATATATAGACCTCACCCTACCTAATGGCCATGGGCTTTAAGTGTCCTCCACCCTTCAGAGGAAGGGTCAGCTAAATGGGTAAATGCTGTAAACCAGTAGTTCTCTGGAGTCCCTTGGTGGTTCAGTTATTGGCTGTTAACCAAAAGGTTGGAGGTTGGAGTCCACCCAGAGGTGCCTTGGAAGAAAGACCTGGAAATCTACTTCTGAAAAATCAGCCATTGAAAACCCTATGGAGAATAGTTCTACTCTGACACACATGGGGTTGCTGTCAGTTGGAGGTGACTCAATGGCAGCTGGTAGAGGTGGTGGTCTTATAAGTGTAGTTGCAGGCCAGCAGCATCAGTATCACCTGGGAACTTATTCGAAATGTAAATTCTCAGGCTCCACCTGAGACCAACTGAGTCAGAAACTATGGGATGGGGCCCGACAATCAGTGTTTAATAAGCCCCCAAATGATTCTGAGGCATACAAATGACTACTACAAATATTCTTAATCTAAGATGATTCTCTGAGAAGGGTTATCTGACTGCTGAGGGGGAAAAAAGTCTCCTCCTTTCTAAGAAATCTTGTTCCTAGAAAATTTCCAGAAAAATTTAATCGGTACATTCACAATAAGATGAAGAAGATCCTGAGTTTCAGGGACTATTTCCTATGTTAATCAAGCCTTTTAGCATTTGTCTGAGAGTATCTATGCTCCTGAGTAGAATCCTAGAATAACAGAATGTCACAACTGCCTAGACCTCAGAGATTATTCTGGAATAACTTCCTGGATTTTACAAATGAGAACACTGTGCCGAGAGAAAAGACTTAGCAGAAAGCAAATTACAAACAAAGGGTACAAGGTAGGCACTGGTTTGTTTGGATTTTTTCCTAATAAACCCCAAGAAGCCCCAAACTATGATTACTTAATAACGTAACAAAGGGTCACCCAGAACTGCCAAATGAAGAAATTTCAGAAGAAGCCAAGATTATAAGGGAGTAAGATATTTGTCTCTCCAGACCAGTGACAACAGTCTCTGGACAAACCTTGACCAAATTCATTCTCACAGGCGTTCTCACTGAGGATGAATTTTAATTTATGAAAAACTCAACATGAAACTCAAACTTTCCTTGGAAAGGCCAAGGTGACCAGTCTAATTCAAATATTTCCCTCCCAAGTAATTTCACATTAACTCTTTCTTAAAGTGCTTTTTCTAGATTAACATTTAAAACAAACATTTGCTCTTCAAGGACACTAGTAAGAGACTTAGTTATTTTTCATAATTCTTAAATTAATAACAATTTCACATCAGGCAAATTTACTTACTTTAGTTAAAACTTCATTTCAACAAATACTAGGGACATAGCCAGTAGATAGTTATTTGAAATAAGTGGGTCAGTGGCCAAGGCTTAGGTCATTGTTTTGTTCTATAAATACATTTTTCAGTTGTAATAGTATTTCTGGTGAGCCCTGGTGGCCCAGCCGTTAAGCTGCTAACTGAAAGTTTAGCAATTTGAATTCACCAACCGCTCAGGAGGAGAAAGATGTGGCAATCTGCTTCCATAAAGATTATAGCCTTGGAAACCCTATGGGTAGTTCTACTCTGTCCTGTAGGGTCACTATGAGTCATAATCAACTTGATGGCAATGAGTAATAGTATTTCTGTATAGGGCCTTTTGAGTTTATGATATAACTCCTCCATGAAACCTTCCTGTATATTCATCTAAAAAGAAAGTGTAATCATCTTGCAGTTAACCAGACTTAGGAAAGAAGTATTAATAAATTAGTATGTATTTATATACAAGTCACTTTGCTGATCACTAAGGGTGCAACCAGAGAAAAACATTTAACACATAGGCCCTGCCTTTAAATAGCTTTATGGCCAATAAAAACATTATTAGACTCATAAAGGTAGAATTTAAAGCAAAGAAAGTTCAAAACAGGTTTAATACTTTAGTGGCCATGTCTTATTTTTGCCTTTAGGTGCCCTTTTACCCTCGTTTTCATAAATTATTTTCTTCTGGAAGCAACCCTCACACACTTTCTTAAGCATGGGCAGATGCAGGGTTTATGGGACTTGAAGTTTATACAATCTGGGGGACCACTTAAGAGAATAAAATATTACAACTACAAAATTATTTAGAATAAGAAAAGAATTAACAAGACATTATATATTTCAAAAAGTTAACAAATAACCAAAAAATCACCAAATCTAGAAAAGCTAACCTAATATTTTTACTTAATGAATGGCCTGACACCTTCTGTATTTTTCTCTTACATGATTGCCTCTGGGTCTTTCTGATGCATAGACCAATATTTTTCTTTATTGTTTAAGCCACTTTCAGTTATTTGCAGCATATAATCCTACCTTATGTCTTTGTAGACATATGGAAAACTTGTAATAAGCTTTAAGAATGGATGAACCCCAGCTCATGAAGAAAAGCACATCCCAGGTTGCAAAATACGGAACGGTTTATGCCATCACATAGCAACTCCTTTCAACAGCAGAAGGCATTTAAAGTCATTTCATTTTTAGCGCTGTGTAATAAATAAAATTGATCACACCAGGCTGTGTAGGAAAATAAAAACATTTGTCAGGCCAAAACAATAAAACAAAGATTATTATGGACTTTACCAAGTATTTAGTAATTAGTCCTTAATGGGAAATGGTCACATGGCCCCTCTGATGTAGTTGCCTAGAATGAATTGCCAAGTACTGCTTTGTTTCCAGTGAAATAAAGAATCAATCTGTGTAAAGATGAGGGGGAAGGTGAGAAAATGTTTAATTGACTAAAAATTGTATTTACTTAAAATCCATTAATAAAGGCATTTGAAACAAGCAAGTGGAAATCATAATATGCAACAAGTATTAGCTAAAGTAGCTTTTAGACATAAACGTGCCATGGGAAAACAGCAACAGCTCTTACAAATTTATGTACAACTTTCTGCATATGAGGAACCAAACAGACATTTTGAAAGTGTGTAAGCTCAGCGTGGTCTTCTTTGGAATAAAGAAAGAAAGGAGTCAAAACAATAATTGAAGAATATGATTTGGAGCCAAATCCTGCTGGGATTCATTATTTTATTACTGCCAGCTAAAGAGTAGAGACTGCCAAGTACACTAAGTTTTAGCATGTCTTTTATAATTGCGGTTTATTTAATGATGACTTACTTCGATTTATTTGGAACCATAAAAGAGGAAAGGGACAGGCTGACTTTAGAGGCTTACAAAAACAGTTAATATTTAGGATGAATTTTCTTGACAGCAACTTAACAAAACAACATCTCCAGTTACACTGCTCATAATGGACAAAGAGTTTCCATGGCAGATCATGGCACTGTAAGCCAGTCAGGGTCTTGAGCTTCATATCCAGGATGCACTTTGCAGATAAATTAAGAGATTTGTCACACCCACACAGTCAGTGGATAGCAGAATGGATGGCAGCTAGCTCTGCATATCTTAGGCAAAAAGGAGAGTTGAGTCTAAGGAGGAATATTTGCGTGTATTTCAAGTTGTCAACATTATGCTTCCCATTCCCCTGCAAATTAATTCTTCAGTCTTCCCAACCACCATCCCCTCCATCTACTGTCACCAGATAAATTTAAAAAAAAAAAAAAACCCTATTGCTGTGGAGTCAATTCCGACTCACAGTGACCCCGTGTGTTACAAACTAGAACAGCTCCATAGGATTTTCTTGGCTGTAATCTTTATGGAGGCAGTAGTGCACCAGGCCTTTCTTCCATGGCACTGCTGGGTGGGTTGTAACAGCCAACCTTTAGGTTAGTAGCCATACCTGAGAATATTTCTTTTTCCCCAAATACTTCAATTATAAAATTGAGAATTATTCTTACAGAAAATATAACTCCATAGGTTGTAGGATCCATGAGGGAATGAGTGATCCCACCTGTGTTGTTCACGATCACATCCTGGCCTAGAACTTGTTAGGTACTTTCTAGGCTCTCAGCCAAGGTTTATTGAATGAATACAATGCCACCAAAGGTAAGTGAATCGTTAAGTAAAGCTCCTGCCAGCCATCCTTAAAGTTCTTTGGTTGGCTAAGACAGATTACCAGCCTGTCTTGCCAATAGGCATGGTGGCCTTTCCTTGCCATTTCACTTACGTTTTATGGCCCAACTGTGACTATCTGTTTTCCATTATAGCAAAACTTCTCACTCACCCATTGTGTGACTGCTTTCAGCCAACCAGCACCTCAGCGTCAGCTGACCCTTACTTCTTACTGCACTGAGAACACAGAAACACTAGAAGAGAATTTCCACACACTTGGGGTACCACATCCAACTACTTCCCTGCTGTCCTAGTTATCTAATGCTTCTATAACAGAAATACCACAAGTAGATGGCTTTAACAAAGAGAAATTTATTCTCTCACAGTGTAGCAGGCTAGAAGTCCAAATTCAGGATGCCAGCTCCAGGGGAAGCTTTCTTTCTCTGTTGGCTTTGGGGAAAGGTCCTTGTTATCAATCTTCCCCTGGTCTACGAGCTTCTCAGGCACAGGGACCCTGAGTCCAAAGGATGGGCTGTGCTCCCATTGCTGGTAGTATGAGGTCCCCCGTCTCTCTGCTCAATTCTCTCTTTTATATCTCAAAAGAGATTGACTTAAAACACAACCTAATGTTGTAGATTGAGTCCTGCCTCATTAACATAACCGCTGCTAAACCTACCTCATTATCATAGAGGTAGGATACTATGAAAATCATTCTCAGATGACGAAATGGTGGACAATCACAAAATACTGGAAATCATGGCCTAGCCAAGTCAACAGATATTTTGGGGGGACACAATTCAATCTGTAACATCTGCATTTACACGTGTATACTCTACCTTCCGGCTGCTATGAAGGACAAACAGTGTGTGTGCTTTACTGAGGTCAGCCCTGTATGCTGTGTGCTGGAT